GGTTCCAAAATTCGGACAATTTTTTTTGTTTGTTTTTTTATTATTATTATTATTTTAGCCTCTTACAAAAGTGTACTATTGTAGTAGGTATTTTCCTCCTGGCTAGTTTGCTAAATTTAACCAGTTTCATATGTAATATGTATATACAAGATTGCATAAATCCTTAGGTTCAATAAATCACACTACTGATAGAGAACAAAATTAGAAAAACAAACAAATGAATAAAAGAAAAATCCACAAGAATGCAAAAAGAAAGCAATGATTATTTCCACTGCAGAGCATTATGGTAAAATTTCCAATACATTAATTTACACATTGCTAAACAAAAGAGTCCTTGGTGCTTCTTTAATTACAGATGCCTGGTCTTACATCAACATTAAATGGTCATTTTTGTTAAAAGATTACAGTTGGTATTAAAATGGCTGATGCAGACAGGGGTCTCTTTGTGTGTAAGATCATGCTGTGGTTTAGATTTATGTGACTAAATAATTACTATCTGCCATTTTGTACAGAAAATCACTGTTAAGCAAACCATTAACACAGAAATTCAGTCGGAAGCCCAAACTCAAAATGACTAGGTTTTTATATCAATTCCACTTTAATTCTGTCATACTTCATGAACGGTTCAGATGAGCTGCTACTTTGAACACAGCCTTGGTAAAGAATACTATTGCAAAACACCTTAACTGTTACTCTGACAGTAGACACTGTGTACATGCAGCATCATGCTGACTTTTCAACATCAATAAATGTTTCTTTATCAGAATAATAATCACTTATTACTCAAACCGAAATGGTCAAAGGCATGGCAGAGCAGTTTTTAAAAATTATTTTAATACACTGGTCTGTAAAAAGTGTGTGATGGGCCTCTCGTGCATTGAGAAATACAGATTAAAATACCTCAAGGCACTAAAATTCAGTAAAGAATTATCCATTTGTTCAATCAAAAATGTGTTATTATTAAAGGCACAAATTTGTTCCAAAGAGACTTGATCCTTACAAGACTTAACAATATTATCAAGCAGAATGACTGATTGTAAATCAGACATATAAGCGCAGGCCTATGTTTTTCTTTTGTACAATTTTGTTTTCTTATTTATTACTATAACAGGAAAACGTAACTAGGCCAAAAAGTGAAGTTTAAGGCTAGGAAATGTAGATACTTGAACAGTTTTCATAAAATGTAACCCACTGTCTGTCTCAGCCATTTCAACTAGCATGAACAAGGGACCCATTGTACATCACAATCAAATATGTTCTACACAGCCATGGTAGACAACATTTGACAATACAATACTAGACTTCAAGGTTCAAAAAGAAAGTTAGAAGATTTCTTATTTCATATCCAAATTCTTCAGATCCCAACTAAACAGACAGAAAAACAAACACCAGTCAAATGGAAACTAAAGAAAGCACCTTACGGGCCGAGTACTCTTTTAAATTCCTGACAGCATACAAGTAGTGCACAACAACTAATGTTTCAAAACTGATTTCAGAATTTTACGAAACAAGTACTAGTAGTATAAAAAGAAGTAATATATACTTCAAATAAGCACTAATCCATATGGCCACTTAGGAATATTAACACAAATATTCATTCATTACTATGACATTCCTTCACTGTAGATTACAGCCAATTCAATACTATGTTATCGTCTTCACTGAGAAATTGAAGAAAAAGCCCCACAATCTTTATATTCAGTTTCTAAAGAATTGTGATTCATTATGATTTTTTTGAATGCACATATTATGTAAATAAGGTACTAGATTTGGTCATATTTCTAACTATTTCCTCAGAATGTTAAAATGAAAATGCAGTTATAAAATCGAAGAGAGAACAAAGAATAGTAAAGGTCTTTGGTAGAAACTACAAAAATGGGCATTCAGTCCATTAATATTGTCAGCAAAAGCAGTTGGCATAGTTGTCCTGTCAAATTAAACATTGAAAAACTGACATAGTAATTGTACACCACTTCAGTTGAACTTTGAAACAAGTATAAACTACAATACCACTTTGGTTCATTTGAGTAAAGTCCACATTTGATTTGACCGCACTCTTCGTTTGAGAAATAAATGTCGTGTGAAATCCCAAACATTTCAACCACATTTTATAGTTCAACAAAACCCTACGTTATGGTCCAATAACCAAACAATGGAACCAATCCCTCAACAAAGTCTTGAACACTTGAGTGCTGGAAACCTCACAATATCCCGAGCTGCTTTGATCCATTTCAACCTATCTATGTCGCCCATCGTACGGAAAAGAACACGACTAGAAAAGAGAAGCACAAAGTCAATGCGTTTGAAGCATTGCGCAGAAATATTTTCGAATACTCGACTGTGATGCCTGACCAACAACTGGATACGTCTGCTCAACACAAACACATTTGGCAGTGTGATTTAGAGCTTCAGCTGGTTAACAAAAGTTACACACTGACACACGCAGTGCCAAATCAGTCAAGAACATCAGCTACATACAGACCTTGTGGATTAAGATACGAACGCAAGAAAGCAAGCAGAGAGAAATCATATATATATATATACACACATACATACACACACACTGTCTTCGCCTCGTGAAGCTGAAAGAAAATACGAGGGTCTGGACAATTAGATCCTCAATAACCATCCCTTTTAAAGTAAACTGTTTATCCCAAATTCGAAAGAAAAAAGAAAGAACTTGCACCTTTGTGTACCTGACAATTTACCGCACAAACTCATTGCTGTAAATATGAAAGGAACAAGAAAAAAAAAAAGTTTCAGATAACACAGTAGCAGGTCATTTCAATTAGATTACCTAAGCACATTACACTGTCGAATTTGGATACGAAAAACACCAATGATTTCTGTCTGTAAACACTACAGAGCACTACAATTCTACACATTTCAATAAACAGAAATGTACTGAGCCAGTTTAGTTTTTGCAATCAAAGAAACGCACACATTTCCTGATTTGAATATCCCTACACATTTAAACTAAGGATGATTCAACATTTCTAAGGATAATGAAGCTGCACCCAAAAAGCACCACCGTTAATGAAGGAAAAGGATCGAATCTTCAGCTGAACCTCAGAGCTCAGGCACCGACCAGGGTGAAGTCTCTCAGAAATACTTTAGTACTGAATTGGGCCGCTAAATGCTCCGATAATACGGTACTACTGAAAAAATACATACGTTGCGGAAGCTGTGGGTATTTTACTACAATCCTAAACTCTTCACAGATGCTTCAAATGTTTTTAAGGCAAGGCACTTAAGAGGGAGTGGCCAGGAATCAGATATATGTTCTAACATATCTGAAAGGCTAAAGTCCAAAAAATAAAAAATAAATACTGTGTCGCTGAGGACTTCAGAACACATGTGCTCATCTAACAACTACATAATGTATATCTAAATAGTCACTATAAGATGGAGAAATCCATTTACTAAATGCCTTAGCATACAGTATGTGCCTTACTGATATTACAGCTGCTGGTTATGCCTAAAATGCATTCAAAGTTTGCACTTATTTGATTGAAAAATTTAAGTAACAATGAAAGTAATAATAACTACTATTTAGTACTATTTTATATGAAAACTAACAAGATATATACACTATACCATGATTTAACAGTAAGAAAAATGAAATATTCTATTATGTTTTTCACAGTACACACAAACGCTTCATACTTTAGCGTATTTGGGAAAAAATATATAAATCTAAGAAAAAAACAACAAAAAAAAAACTACAAAGCAGCTGAAAGCACATTTTCTACAAGAAAAATTTCCAGACAAATTTCCAAGTCAACAAAGTGCTTTTAACAAGAAACGAATCCTCTTCACACAGCTAGTAGAAATAATGGCGTCGGGCCGATGATTTTGTTGCTAACAGTCAAATCAGGGCCAACCGACTATAAATGCCAAAAGCAATAACCAAGGGAAAATCTTTTAATGCTTTATGAAAATGGATAATCTAGCTTGTACAAAACAGGTATTGCATTTAAGTTCTTGATTTGTATCAGTCAAACACCACTTATTAGATTCTAATGGAACTAATCAATTGAATCACTATATGAAATACTGAAACACAAAAAAAATGCTATTTAGAAATCGTAAGCATAATAATAATAATAATAATAATTATAGAAGTTATCTGGGACATTAAATGTCATCACACCAAATAGGTAAACTCATCTACTCACAAGTGGACTTTCACAGCCTCATTGCGTTTATAATCACACCCTTGCAACCTATTCTAACTCAAACTTTCAGAGAAAAGGACTCAGAAACTTGGCAAAGTGGTAGTAATGTTGAAGTCATGCAACCGTAGTGTAGTTCATTTATAGTCAACGTTTAGACTTTTACGTCTGGCAATTGTATTAAGGCTCCAAAATTAATAGAAGTTGTGTTCATTTGTGAAGATTATCATGATGAAGAACGTGTAAGAATCATTAATTAACCACAAATCTTAATTTCCACAATGGTCCAACAGCCAATGGAAAAATCCTATTGGCTTTTTGTTGAGGGAACCAGGGTGATGCCTACAAAAACACCTCATCACCACAGCGCTCTATAGCTTGAAGTGTCACTGCAAGATAACAGCTTCAATTAGCAAAGTAAAGCAGTGTCAGCCTCTACAATAAAAGTCTTCTACAATAAAACTAGGCATGAATCTCTCAGAGATGACCTACAGGACAAACTAATGGCGCTTTTCCACTGCGTGGTACGACTCGGCTCGGTACGGCACGGCACGGCTCGGTTTGGCTCGGTTTGCGTTTCCACTGCAGTTTAGTACCGCTTTAGAGTGGGCGGGATTATTCACGTGTCGTTATAGTTGCGCCGCCTCTACTGCCGCGACTCCTAAAAAAACTTTTTCATTCCGCGTTGCCCCATCAAGCTCTCGCTGGATCCTCTCCTCTGCGCCAGGTACTGTACCCAGTGGAAACCCCCCCAAAAAGTGAACCGTACCGAGCCGTACCGTGCAGTGGAAAAGCGCCATAAATGGCTTCGAAGCATCACTCGTCTCATAAGACCCATAAAAGCAAGCCAGCACATCTGACCTGCTTGACTTGGTGCCAGGCCTCCTCCCATTGCTTTATCTTGCGCTTGGCTTCATCCAGTTCTCGGAGGAGCCGGCCGATGTCTGCACTGCTGGAGCCGACCGTGCTGGAAGTAAGGCTGCTGAACACTGGAGAAGGGCTGGGAGAGAAGCTGCCACTCATAAAGTCCCATATTCCCCCTGCTCCACCATTCAGACCTAAGCCAAAACATCATTACATCAACTCAAATATTCACAAGACTGCGATCGTGATATGAAGTTTGGGAAAATAATTCCCACCTAAGGAGTTCTGCGTAGACGTGGATGTTCCTAGAAGGCCGTGCTCGGCTTTAACAGGTGGTGCCTGTGGCTGGCTCTGCTGGGAGGCCATTCCAGTGAGGAGAGACTGGGACAGGGATTGAGACAGAGAGCTGAGCGGGGAGGCAGAAAGAGAGGATGAGGAATGCAGAGAGGAAGACCGAGCTAGAGAGCCAGGAATATTGACCGGAGCAGAGCCTCCTAATAACCGCTGTCCTACGGGAAGAAACAGTTTGAACATTAACTGCAGTGCATCCTATACCTTATACAAGACAACACACTCCGAAATCAACAGCTACAACAATTAATCTTACTTGTTAAACCAAGGCCATTGTTGTCTTGGTCCTCTAGCTCTTTGTCAAGGGAGGCAACATTGATGTCACTAAAATTCAGGTCAAGTGCAGATCCTAAGAGCGAGAAAAATCGTCTGCGATTTAGTATCTTTGCAAAGTGGATATGAAACACAAGCTACTTAAAGAGACAATATTACATAAAGCTCCTAATTCATTCATTCATTCATTCAAACAAACAATTAAAAAAAAAATCTATACTTCTACTTCTGTATATAGTGCATTATTTAATTTTCTGTTTTTCTTATATTAGTGTTATAATCCATCTCTACTGTGCTATTTCTTTGTATGTCTGCACTATCATGTATGTTTGCATTATGTATTTTCTTCTGCACTGGAAGCTCCTGTCGTCAAGTTTCCTTGTGTTTCTGTTTTTCTTATATTAGTGTTATAATCCATCTCTACTGTGCTATTTCTTTGTATGTCTGCACTATCATGTATGTTTGCATTATGTATTTTCTTCTGCACTGGAAGCTCCTGTCGTCAAGTCAAATTCCTTGTGTGTGTAAACATACTTGGTAATAAAGCTCTTTCTGACTTGATGTTTTGTTAAACTTCAAAAGAAAAACTTTTTGATTTAAAAAAGCAGTGATTAAAAGGCTTGATAATTCAGTTATTCATCCTGCAGCATACAATTCATATCCACTCACAGTCTATAATAACCATACATCAAAGGCTGCTTTTGGGCAATAGTCATATATTTAAGTTAAATTTGCGTAAAGGCAGTCGTGAAGGCAAAAGCACTTACCATCCATTTAGCTGTGTGCTGCTGAGTCACTGCTGCTGCTGGTGAGTTTTAGTGGACTCACTGACTTATGGCTAATGCATTGCCACAAATACAGCTTCCACTTCACTAAACGCTCTGCATTTATCTGCACTGCCTTATCTGGGCTGAGTCTGTCTCATGTACTTTTACTCTTGGATGTAGCGTTCGGCTGGGCGGCTCTAAGATGAAAGCGCTGCAGGACTTACCTATTACTGACTCCACAGTATTGCTGCCTGGATAGAAAGGCGTGGCTTTTGCATTCATGGTTGATAAAGTGGTGGGTGACGAACTGTCAGATCCGATGCTGGAGGCCAAGCTGGACGTGATGCTTGATGTTATGCTGGACGCGAGTGGGTTCACTACTGAGAACACATTGCCATGAGCCTGTGAAAGGAAGCAATGGGACACGAGTCAATGTCAAATAATACTTCCACAATAAGGAAGAGGAGGAAACTTTTGAAAATCTAGTTTAAAACTTAAGCGACAAGATCTTAGAAATGAACTGTTCATATTTATGTTACTTTCATAAAGTTTTGAAAAATTTTAGGCATAAATGAAAAATGTTTTTCCAAAGTAATTATGTCCCCACTGGATGCTACAAATGCCTCGTTTATAATGGGTTTTCATGTTTTTGTCTCATCGCTCCTGCCGGACAGGGCATCACAGTACGGTAGGGGCGTAATATTTCCGTCTCACGCTTGAGGTATTCGGCCAATCTCAACACGCTGGATAGCTGGCCAATCACAGCACACCTCGCTTTTCAGACCGATGAGCTTTGTAAAAATCGACGCGTTTCAGAAAGGCGGGGCATAGAGGAGAAACAATAATGTACAGTATGTGGAAAATAATGTTTTTTTAACCTTAAACCGCATAAACACATTTCATTACACCAAATACACAAAATACTGTTCTTTTTAGCAGCATCATATGACCCCTTTAACAAGGGAGCACTGTGTAGCAGGTTTGTCGTTTTATTTTTTAAAGAAATTAATAACAGATTTTTTTCTTGATTATGATTTCAGGACAGTTGTATGACAAACTGTTGAAATTTCTGCCTCTATGGCCCCCAAAAATATCAAAAGGAATTTTAAAATCAAATAAAAAAAATAATAATTTAATGAATTTGAATGGGTTTTTGAATGAGTGTTTTCCACTGTTATTTTAGTATCATTTACATATACTATTATAGTACTTTTTTAATATTTTGAGTTAGCTTTTAATGTTATATTTTCAATTTTTATTTTAATATTAAAGTTTTAGCAGTTTGTGCTTTTGACATTTGATTTTTATTTCAGTTTCAGTAATGTTAGTACCCTATTTTCCAGCATATAAGTTATATTCCAAAGTGACTAATATAACGCAATTAATGTACACAAAATATGCACAAAGTGCACACATTTGGATTTGTGCCAAATGAGAGAGGCACGTGAGCTTAACTTTGTTAGTATAGCACATTTTCCACACGCCAGTAGTTACAACATTGCATCAAATAATGTCGTTTAGGCTTGACGTGTATAAAACATGCGGTTTATAATGAATGCCACTATAATTTATTTTTGCTTTATCCTTATATTTTTCATTCCTGTTCTGTTCTGAATACAGGCACATTTGAAGGATGTGTTGTAGACTGAGGGTAAATAAAATACACGTTTATAGCATGTATAATATTTGTAAATGTTTAATTTTATTTACTGGCATTTTACATTTACATTTATGTCTGAATGTAATAATAATAAAATAAAAATAATAAAAACTTGTACAACTTATCTGTATTTTTTATCTCAAGAATAGTTTTGACCCAGTGCGCCTTATAGTCAGGTGTGACTGGCTTTCCAGAAAATACAGTACTTAAACTCATTTAGTTTACTTAGCTGCCAAGGCAATATTTCTTTAAAACTTGCCTTAAATCTTCCTTAAAAGTATTTCATCTAATATTTATATTTTATTTTATCATTTCAATGAATGAAAAAAATTGTTTTAGTTTACAATAACAATACTATTTTGAACAATGTTACTTCAAAAATCATCTGCAAATATATACATACTTTATGGCACTATGTAAAAAAAAAAAAAAAAAAAAAAGTAACATTATATGATTTCTTGGAAATGAGGATGAAAACATGGAATGTAACACGATCCAATGCTCCAATCACTTTATATCTTATACAATCCTTACTTGTAAGGTTGTAAAATGCATGAATGTGAGGACTAGGTTGCTTTACCTGTTTGTCTTGGTCCATTAACTTTTGATTATTTTCCCCAGACAGGCTTTTCTGGTTCTTTGCCTGAAATCAGATAATACATCCTATCATGTGACCTGATGTTGTTAAGGCAACCAGGGCTGCTATTATATCGGGAATTGCTACCTGCTCAGAAAGAAGAAAAAAAAAAAAAAAGTACGACGCCCTTTAAAGTTGTTTGTGACAGTATAACATACAGCGTGCTTAGTTTTGATATTTTATGATTACCACAATGTGGTCATGTGCGTGTTGTTCTCCGATCACTACAACATTAAAATTATTTCAGAACTTAGCACATGAATGATAAACAAAAAAAGTTCACGTGTAATGCATTTCAAAGCAGACAATGTTGCCACTCCCTCAATCTCAAAGACTGAAGTGAAGCTTTTCAACAACAACAACTGAGTATTGACAACTAAAGACAAGTAGCTTCTATTTGGCAACAAACCACTAAAAACACACAAGCGAAAAGTGGTGAGTACAAATGAAATGACCCAAAGGCAAAGAAATCAAAGTGAAAGCTTGCAGTGTGTGTCAGGCCTGCAGTCCTGCAGGAGGTCCCTTTAGTAAGGGCTAGAGAAAACGACCATGTGTACCTGATCCTCCCGTTCAAAACCCGGAGCTTTGGGATAGTTAGACGTCGGAGAGGAAACACTGGACGTGGTGGACTCTGAACAAAAGCTACCATTAGTAAAGCATTTTGGCCTGCTGATGGGTCCAATTGGGGACAAAGAACTGTTGCTCCCTGAGCCTGGTGTTACAGTTGGACTATTAGTGCATGAAACCTGAAGAAGAAAAGCACAAATCAGCTTAAAAAATGTGTTTTTGGAGCCAAATAGGTGATTTTTCTTTGTTGATTAGGTAGATCCAAACGTGAGAGGATTTAGCGCACAATAACAGAGAAAAAAATGTTTGGTCTAATGTCAATCAAGAAGGATTTGAGTATAAAGGCCTGATTTGAATTTGAGTTAGTCTCCCTTTTCAACACAGACTGCAATAAGCAGAAAAGAATGCAAAGCCAGCCAAAGTCAATAAAATGAAACACTGCAGAAATGAAGAGAAAAACAGTAGATCTAACAACAGAACAATCAACTGCTTCCTAAATAAAGGACATTTCTCTACCCCAGATGTAAGACAGATGAAGGACAGGTGTGAGAAGGTGAATGCAAACATACGCTTCCTGTCTGGCCGTTGTTACTGCCGCTGCTGGTGATGGAAATCATGTTGCCGCTCCACTCGCTGACTGGACACTCTGGATATTGCGGAGAGCCCAGCTTGGACTGAGAACCCGACTGCATTGCTGTGAGCAATGTGCTCATGGTCTCCTCTGCGGAAGGAATTCCTTCATACACACACACACACACACACACACACACACACACACAGTCATTAGAGTCATGAACTTTGGGCTGCACGATTTGATGAGGGGAATCAAATTGCGATTTGATATTTAAAGGAGACTTTTTAAAAAAAAGAAGCTCCAGGTTGGCTTTTGTAACTATTATTATTATTACACAATATGGTTTAATAAAAAATTATTTCATTATTGTCCATGCAGAGGCTATGCCGTTTTACTTATCCATGGCACATGCATTTTGGTTCAAACATATGTCATCCAATTACTTGTTTGCATTATTTAACAAATTTTTATTATTATTATTATATTTTTTGTAAGGTATTTATTTTTTATTTTTTGATAAAGAAAGTTGGTCATAGGAGTGTAAAATTAATTTTAAAACTTAGGGTTAGGGTATATGTTTGATTTATGTTGAAGGACATGGCTTTTAATGGTGAGACTTTTGTGACCAGGCTCTCATAAATTACGTAAAACTTTGGATTTAGATTTATCGGCCAATATGTTGGTAATCGGCTATCGAATATAAAGAATTATTGTTATCAGCATTGGCCAAAATGTTCATATCGGTGCCTCCCTAATTTATAATACTAATTATTTTATTTTACAGTACGATTCTAAAAACTGCTACATTTCATTACCATTCAAATACTTATGGTCGTCTTCATTTTTTTTATTATTATTATTTTCAAAAGTTAAACCACCAAGGTTTTATTTTTGCAGACAACCACAGGGAGCTTCTCTTTTGTTGATAACATCCAGTTTATAAGAGCTTCTCATTACAAGTTTAGGAAGATGGTTGGCTCATGTTGCGCTCCCAAATGCACGTTACAAGCAAAGCAAACTAAGAGCAGATGCAGAGATGAGTTTGTGTTGAGCAGCATTTACTGTGAATCAAGCCACTGCCAGACACGTAAAACACCAGATTATGAGCTGTTCGTGTGAAAAAGAACAAGTGCTGTTGTTCACTCTGAAACCTGCAGTGCATATATTTATTGAATTAAATTACAGCCTTTGCGTTTTGGTAAACTGCCATATCGTGATTAGGGTTTCATTTTGAATAATCTTATAGCCATACATGAACTCAATGAATTCACTGCACTTCAGGTATTTAACTTCAACACATTGCAATCAATCACTCTGTTGAACCCAAGGTACTACATGTACTTTGTCACTGCTATGCTGCAATAAACGTCTTCATCGAGATCTTCATCGTCCTAATCACTTTTTCTTACAATATTGTGACCCTGGACCACAAAACCAGTCATAAGTATATTTGTAGCAATAGCCAACAATACATTGTTCATCATTATAAACATGCTTACTTTCCACATGTGCAAAAGCACAGAATGGACCCCTTGGACAGTATCCAGTTTGCCTCATGTCGTTGCATTTTGTTGATTTGTAAATCTTGAAACAATGACAGAAGTTGGTGAGATGATGACAATAAAGTAAATCAAATAAATTATAAGTCAATCACTCAAGTTCAGTGTTGTAAAGGTGTGTTGTTCTCACCTCTGGGTGGAACTGTTGCTCGGTGCGAGAGTGGCAGTACTGACAGCTGTCCCCACTCTCACACTTGGAGGGCTCGCCCCATTCATCGCCATGCTTTACACTCGGGCAGGGCGTCGACCTGCCAAGACATACAACAGCAGGGATTGAGTTTTAGGTTAGTGATATGCCGGTGTAAATTTCCTACTGTAAATATATCAAAAATGTATTATCATTAGTAATATGCATTGCTAAGGACTTCATTTGGACAACTTTAAAGGCGATTTTCTCAATATTTTTTATTTTTTTTGTATCCTCAGATTCCAGATTTTCAAAAAGTTGTATCTTGGCCAAATATTGTCCTATCATAACAAACCATACATCAATGGAAAGCTTATTTATTTTCAAATTGACCCTTATGACTGGTTTTGTGGTCCAAGGTCACATATATCAGAGTTATTTAAAAGGTTTGTCCGCACAAAAAATGAAAATTCATTCAAAAACTGAACATATCAGACTTATTTAAAAGGTTTGTTCACTCAAACACAAAAATTCGCTCAAATGCAAACATAAAATTGCACATATCAGACTCATTTAGAGGTTTGTTCGCTCAAAAATTTTAATTCACTTAAACGCATACATTAAACGGCAAATTTCAGATTCGTTTAAAAGGTTTGTTTGCTCAAAAAAGAAAATTTGCTCAATTGTAAACATAAAACTGCACATTTCAGACTAATTTAAAGGGTTAATTTTGCTCAAAATGAAAATTAGCTCAATTGTAAACATAAAACTGTGCATATCAAACTCATTTAAACGTTTGTTCACTCAAAAATAAAAATTCGCTCAAATGCAAACATAAAACTCTGCATATTAGACTTGCTAAAAAGGTTTGTTCGCTTAAAACTGAAAATTTGCTCACCAACATGTCATTTGTTAACGCTCATGTCACTCTAAAGCTGTATTTCTTCTCTGGAAGTGTCCAAGCCACTGTCTTCCATACAATAAATGTGTTAGTTTTTGCTTTGTTTGTATATGTTAAAATCCATTCACTTTAATTGTACAGCAAACCGCTGCATGAACATCCCCTCGAAACATCCGCTTTTGTGTTCAACAACAGAAAGAAGGTCAAGTGGGTTTTGAACAACATGCGCATGAGTAAAGCATGACACAGTTTTCACGCATCCCTTTAAGCACCCCTGCATATATCTGATGAAATGTCTGAGGCAAATCCTGCAGCTTTAGACGGCTCTGTGCATATTCATTACCGGTATATATCGCATTACCTAATACCGGCACAAGTCTGTTTTAGGTTTAAAATAAAATAGTGATGCACTGAAATGAAACCAACATTCCTTTTTTTTTTTTTTTTTTGGATGTGACCAACCAATATAACAAATAATAAGCACACAAAATATCTACAAATGAAGACTTCAGATGCAAAAAGTCCATTTACATCAGGCTCCTATGAAAAAAACATTGGACATTTTTGAAAATAAGACATTCGATAACTGACTAACAACCTTTTCTTTGCCATTAAAGTGAAATTACTGAACCTAAACAAAGACGACTGATAAAAATGCTAATTTAAAAGAAAAAATCTCAGACAGACTTAGAGGTTTTTGCATCTGAAGTCTTCAAATAATAAATATTCCCACATAACATCACTTCCACTTCCCAAATGTGTTTAGGTGTCACAGTGAGTCGACTTCTGCTTTATTTGGGAATATTTGCAATCTGAAGTGTTCCCATCTCACCTGTATTTGAACTTTCTGGGATTTCTTCTCCTATCTCTGCTGTTGTGATAGTGGGGACAGGCATAGCCCTGCCTGCATAGACGTGGAGGCTTGGTGCACTGCTCGGTTTTATAGTTGGCCAAAACAAAATTGGTGTCTGCAGAAAAGGGGAACAGAAACTGAAGATAAGTTGACCTAATTGTCATTTTTGTAACCGTTACTACTGAAGTCTTGATCAACCTCTTTTTATGTCTCTTATACTGGTCTTGCATTAGTGTGGGAAGGGTTTGTGTCACCTTGCCAGCGTGGGTCCTCATTCAAGGTCTTCTCAATCATGGCCTGGCTGGCCAGCACACCCGGCTGCAGGTCAGGAATTCCCTCCCCAGATCCCAACTGGCCGTTCTGCAGAGCTTCCTGTGCCTGAATCTCTCTGTGAACATAATTATGCAAGTCAGCCCACCCATGCAACAGGACCAACACCAACTCCGAACGGCAGATGTAAAGAAAAAAAGGGGAAAAAAAACCAAGACCGCTCTTGATGTAACAGCTATTTCCACATACACGTTGCTAGGCAACTGCTGAGATGGCATATTTCTTGTTATTTAATCTCTGGTAAGCCACATTTCCAGGCCAGAATCAAACCGTTCGCGGCTGTGTTGTGCAGACTGCTCGTCAATGCAGGCGTAATTGATGTCGTTAGTAAAACAACAAATACGGTATATATTTGCAAATGAGGTTAAGCACCCTCTAATAAGCACCCTGACTGCTCTCTTATGAACTGAATACATATGTAAAGACCTATGGTGCTAATCAGCTGAAAACTTGTGCAGCCACAAAAGCGTTTTGCAACCGAAAGCAACGGACATAACAAAACAATGACTAGCGCAAACTGCTGTTGTTTTGGAATTCACAGTTTTTACGCTAGTTGGGGGTTGGGAATCCTGGCAGAATTTCCCCCATCGTTGAAAAACAGGAATTTGAGTGCCACAAGCCAAAGAACTTCCTTTTCCGACTAATGCCCTTTAGTGTAAGTTTCCCTTGTACTCGAAGAAATGCAAATAGTCCTCTCAACTATGTACATTAAATGATTCAAAACTGTAACTACACTACCATTCAGTAACCACTTGATAAGAATTGTTAACGTTTTTTTTTCGTCTCTTAAGGTCACCTAGAATTTATTTGACCAAAAAAAAAAAAAAAAAACATATTGTGAAATATTATCACAATTTAAAATAGCCGTTTTATATCGTAATCAATTTTAAAACGTACATTTCTGTGATGGCAAGGCTGTATTTTCAGCATCATTACTCCAGTCTTCAGTGTCACATGAT